CTATTCCCGTATAAAGTGTATTTTTGTGGGCAGAACGAAATTTATATCGAACTTAATAATATTTTACTAAACTGCAGTAAGCCTGCCTAAGCGGTTTTTCTTTATAAGGTCCAATATTTTTTTGTCATTTGTATTTTCTGTACATTTTCGATTGCTTCTGCGTTCTTGTTGTTTATAAACATTTTTGCCTTAACCTTTTTCATATTCAGTTTGTCGTGTCTATTGGATAGGTACAGGTACCAATATATTATATCGTTAATCATTACGATTCGATAAACTGTCGTTCGTCGATCCCAGTCGAGTCCGAAAAACATTCCTTTCTAACGACGCTGTCGAAACCTACCGAACTTTCGTTTAGCTCGGTAAGTAACAGTCTGACTATCGTACACAATACCGTTCAATTATTCGGATATGTACAAACGTTTTTAAAACACTTCACGGGCGCTTTACGTGGGCGATTTTATTTCACATGGGTTTTATTTTATTATTTTTCAACGTCATTTTTGACATGAACGTTTGCTGTACGTGTTCGTGTGTGTGTGTGTGTGTGTTTGTGAATGTTTTCGCGCACCCTTCCGCAGAAGGGGTGTCGAATTTACGCTTGGAAACGATTTATCAAAAGAATATATAATAATATATACCTACAAATACAATATAATATATAATATGCGACTTATTTTTTGTTTGTTGATCAGCCAATATATTACTATTATTATATGTAAACATATTTTTGGGGAAACAATAGTTCGTGTTAAGCACTTGAACCACGTTCCGGATGTTAAGAGGGTAGTGGACAGGATAGGCGGGGATAGTATATGTGCAATACGGCTTTAGGTGGCGACGTCGGTTTTATATAGGAGTGTCGGGTGACCGATTGCACGAAGGGAACCCTAGGGCGACACATTGACTTACGGTAAGGGTTTCGATACTCGAACTATTGGAAAAAAGAAATGAGTATACGAACTCTGGTGGAAAAAATCACAATCATTCGTCGTGTATGCCACTTTGTCATTTAATACATTTATGCATTCCATCATCTCCTTCCCTCCCATTCTTATAAGCTCAATCTCAACGATTCCCTTTTCTGCAAACTCTATTTAAATGAAAGCATCTATGAATTACCCCATAGTATTTTTGATGGCCCATCTTTATCTAGTCAATGTCTTTTTCTATTTAATTATCTTATATCCTCAGTATCCTTTTTAATATCTCCGACATTCCAAAAACATCATTATTCATATTTATAGTGCAATCACTGTGCTGTGCGGGTATCTATGGTAATATCATGTAACGATAATTCATCTATTAACTTTATTTAGAAATGAACGGGCAAAGCCGAACGGACAGCTTGTTTCCTTGAAAAAAAAAAAAAAAAAAACACTGCTAAAACTTGTCATCTTGCCCTAAAATTTAGGTTCCTGCCTTTATCGGTTAAATACTTAATTGTCTGACTTTCCGCAAAACACATTACTGTAATAATAGTCTATTTTTAAACCCAATAATTTTTATTTAAAATATCATCAAGGGAATTTATTAATTATTTAAGTCAACCACAAGATGGATGAACATTGGCATATTTGATCCAAGTAGATCTAAAAAGTGAATAGTTTCGATGGAATAATGGTAGTCTATAGTTTTATTCAGATAATGACTTACATATCTAAAAAAAATTAAAACGGCTACCATTGTTTAAAAACAATTAAAATATCAAAATATACAATTTATTATATTGATGCATTGTTAGTGGCCGTTCCCACATCGAATACATTAACTATAGAGAATCAAAACATATAAAATGCTTCAAAATAAATTCACTTAGATACACAATATTGTTTAGCTAAAATGTATTATACATATTTTTATTTTTTATATATAATATAATATTATTTATTTACTTTAAATATAAAAAAATATATCATAGTACAAAAAATATGGAGAAGTGTTACAAGAAGTTGCTCTACAATAAGTTATAATCTTGTATCGTAGAGCGATGAGTATTTATATAGATATTTACTAAAGCTAAAGAATTATAATGATGATATGAAAATTAGAACAGTGTTTACATTAAAATAATGGGGGAGGTGATGCTATACATTCTCAAGGTGTCCCCTGTGAGTAGTGTTTTCCTGGTCTGAATTCCTAATTTCCCAAAGATTTTGACGAATCATAAAATGAATACACGAAACCATATAGCATCAAACTGATAGCCAAACATCCTCGGATCTTCTGGCCTATTCGACAAAAACAATCCTTTTATGGACTACCCCACATCCTCCCAGAACTCCTTAAAAATCTAGGACCTCGGAGCATAAATTGGATCGCAAAACTGGTTGATTCAATATCTAAGAGGTCGGAGGCTATAATAAGGTCCAAAGGCTACCCTACAAAGTATTAAATAGGGCTATACGATAATTTAAAGACATTTTTTCTGATAAAATTCTGTATTTTTATTTTTTTTTTTACTATTATATATTTATTGTGTTAATTGTTATTGAATATTATTATTAATATATTATTAATATCATGTTTTTTTTTTTTTTAAATATAATTCAAAATCATAAAAGAATAATATGCATGTATTAATTCATCGAGAAAAATAAAATATCATGAAGAAAAATGAATATTTCTTTAAAAATGTGGAGGACATGGAAGAAACCTCTACGCGGTGTCCTCTAGTAACGGTGCCCTCCAAACACCGGCCAATTCTTCCAAATCCAGGCGCAACCTATCTTTCAGTATAATAAAAATGCCCAGAGGTCCTAAAAACCCGCGCCTGAAACGGCCTTTTTCAGGGCCAGCGTTGACGATCGTATCGATAAATATCGAAGGTATTACGATAGTTAAGGAAGAAATTCTATCTACCATCTGCAAATTAACATCATGTGACATTATGTGCGTCCAAGAGACCCATCGAGACCAGACTCTTAATACCCCAAGTATATGTTGAATGAAGCTAGCAGCAATAAGGCACCATAGAAAATATGGCAGTACTATTTTTGTAAAACCTAATATAATCATTCAATCAGTAAAAGTTTATGAACAAAACGACATTGAATTCATCATAGTGCACTTACCGAACATCTCAGTCTCATCAATCTATAAACCACCAAATTCCCCTTTCATAGCTCCCAATCTCAAAACCGAAGGCAGCTTACAACACAATCCTAACATAGTCATGGGTGATTTCAGCAGCCACAGTTCAAGCTGGGGCTATACAGAGACAAACGATGATGGCGAAGCAGTAGAAATCTGGGCACAAGGTTAAGACATGATACTGATTCACGATAACAAACTACCCCCATCTTTGAATAGCGGTCGCTGGAAGAAAGGATACAACCCCGACCTTATAATTGTCATTGAATCTATCAGCCAACTCTGTACCAAAAATATGGGAGACCCGATTCCAAACACAAAACATAGGCCCATAATTTGCAAGTTTGAGGCTGTGGTAAGACCCAATATTGTCCCATTCCAAAGGAGATACAATTTCATGAAAGCAAAGTGGAACCTTTTCTCAGAAGCCCTCGATTCAGACATAAACAATCTCGAACCACTACCCGAATACTATGAATCCTTTGTAGAGAAAGTAAAACTTATATCCCGGAAACACATACCAAGAGGATGCAGGACACAGGACATACCTGGACTATCAAGCGAGACCATGGAGAATTATAACTCATATATCAATATGTTCGAAAATAACCCCTTCGAAGAACAAACCAGGAACAAAGGGGAAGAGCTCACGAATGCCATTGCACAGGAAAAAAGAAATAAATGGCATGAACTTCTAGATAAAACGGACATGAAACATAGTAGTAAAAAAGGGTGGGGCTTTATTAAAAGGCTAAACAGTGACCCTACTAACGCGAAAGGACTGTCGAACGTCTCTCCCGACCAAATCGCCCACCAATTACTATTAAACGTAAAACCAAAAATTCCAAACAGGAAGATAAACCTACTAAAAGAATAACACGAAACAAAGAAAAGGAAGGGAACCACCTGAGCCGGCCTTTCGATGAGGATGAAATGAACATAGCTACAGAGACAATGAAACTTCGGCAAGTAGCCGGGCTAGATAATATTTTTGTCGAAAAGATCCGCAATTTTGGGCCGAAAACCAAACGATGACTACTCACCCTGTATAACGAAATAAGAAACCGGAAAATCATCCCTAAAATATAGAGGAAAACTAAAATTATACCGTCCAAAATACCTCGGAGTAACGCTAGACCGATCTCTCACCTACAGATTCCATTACGAAAACACCAAACATAAAATAATGAAAAGAAATGGCATATTGCGGAAGCTTAGTGGCTCCGCATGGGGCTGTAATCCTCACGTCTTAAGAACTACGGCGTTAGCTCTATGCTTTTCAGCGTCAGAATATGCTAGTCCAGTATGGGGTAGGTCATTACATACTAAAAAAGTCGATGTTGCACTAAACGAGTCTTGCCGACTCATAACCGGTTGCTTAAAAAATGCACCGGTTGAACAACTATACATACTTTCGGGAATAGTTCCTCCCTCAATAAGANATTGCGGAAGCTTAGTGGCTCCACATGGGGCTGTAATCCTCACGTCTTAAGAATTACGGCGTTAGCCCTATGCTTTTCAGCGGGAGAATATGCTAGTCCAGTATTGGGTAGGTCATTACACACTAGAAAAGTCGATGGTGCACTAAACGAGTCTAGCTGACTCATAACCGGTTGCTTAAAAAATTCACCGGTTGAACAACTTTCGGGAATAGCTTCTCCATCAATAAGAAAGTCCACGCAAGCAGACTGGGAAAGAACGAAAATAACATCAGGCCTACGACATCCCGTGTACGGTATAACTCCACAACTACCTCGTCTCATGTCCAGGAAGAGTTTTATGAACCATACAAAAGCCATCTTGTCAACACATCCTGAAACAGAAAGGACGACCAAATGAAGAAACGAGATAAGCAGTACTTCCAGCTGGGTGCCGAATGAATCACTTTCACCTGGTTATAATAAAACATGGCCGGTCTGGCGAACACTAAACAGACTCAGGACAGGAATAGGACGAACGAAAGATAATCTCATAAAATGGGGACTGCTAGATAGCGCAGACACATTGTGTCTNACTAAAAAAGTCGATGTTGCACTAAACGAGTCTTGCCGACTCATAACCGGTTGCTTAAAAAATGCACCGGTTGAACAACTATACATACTTTCGGGAATAGCTCCTCCATCAATAAGAAGGTCCACGCAAGCAGACTGGGAAAGAACGAAAATAGCATCGGACCCACGATATCCCATGTACGGTATAACTCCACAACTATCTCGTCTCAAGTCCAGGAAGAGTTTTATGAACCATACAAAAGCCATCTTGTCAACACATCCTGAAACAGAAAGGACGACCAGATGGAGAAAAGAGATAAGCAGTACTTCCAGCTGGGTGCCGAATGAGTCACTTCCACCTGGTCATAATGAAACATGGCCGGTCTGGCGAACACTAAACAGATTCAGGACAGGAATAGGACGAACGAAAGATAATCTCATAAAATGGGGACTGCTAGATAGCGCAGACACATTGTGTCTATGCGGAAAAGAGCAGACTGCTACACATCATAAAATGCACAGCTAGCTCTCAAACGTGCACCCCAGAAGACATCCAAAAAGGCACAAGCCAAGGAATTAACGTGGCCCGCATCTGGGCCGAAACAATATAAATCCACTAATAACGTCTTAAAACCCTCAATAGTATTACCATATCATACCAAACATTAATTTTATTTATTTATTTATGTTATATTGTTATGATCATTATTATTATTACTGTTATACTATGCGCCTGACACGAAAAAAAAAACATTTAAAAATGTAGGGTGGTGTACGAATACTTTTTACACTCACTTTAAATACTAATTGTTTGTTGATTTTAGTCGATAATTTGAATGAATTTCACTGTCCAAATATTTCGATACAGTAGATTATTTTTTCGTGTTACGCTTGGGCGAGTTTTTGCGAGAGTTCTTTTTAGGTTGCTGTTTCGTACGTATTTTGGGGGCGGAATTACGAGGAACGCTGTATCGTTCATTAAAGTCGTCGATTTTAGCTTCGTATTTCATCAACGTTCTTCTGACCACACGACGGTAACAATAATCAATTCCTCCGAAACACGTCAGCCATATTATTATTATGATTTTGAAGACGCCGTAATAGGGCACGACACTGAACACGTCTTCGATCCATCTGGACACACGGAACAACGCGTACACGATGCAGTGCTTGTAAATCTGTTGATTTTTAGCCGGATCGTATTTATTTTGGTTCAACGCTTTGATTTGTTTGTACGCCCTGTAGGCCGGTATCGCCAATAACATCCCGATTCCGAAGATATCCGCTAATATGTTTAACATCGTGGTATGGTATGTTTATAGATTCGGCTGATAAATATTCTACCGCGTACCAGTTGATAAAAATGCGCCGTCGAATTATGCGTTTTGAGTATCTGTAAAAGTGAAATCATAAACACCGTATTTGTCCATGGAAACGGCGCCGTACCTGCCAGCGTCGTACGATGTTCAAATAATAATTTACAATTTACAATAATTTAATTGAACGAGGGATCTATTAGTGTTACTGTGATGTGCTTTTTTTTTTCTGTATGCGAACAACCTTTCTACCGGAAAATTCGCTCCGGAATATAGACCATATAGTAGTAGCTTTTCCGAAAGGAGATTACCTCTAGTTGGCACACCGAGGAGATAATTTTTTAGATTTTTCAAGCGGTTTTCGGGAAAACCCGAAAAAATAAATTAATCGTAAACTCGCGAGAACGCCGCTGGCTGTTTATTGCGTGAGCTATTGAAGTAACGGGAAAATACATTCCTCGCTATGTTTTATTTCTGTACATTTTTTCGAGTATTTATTCGTTATTCGAGTGTTTATGCATAGCCCATTGTACGACAAATACGTAATATTAAGTTTACATTTTTATTTTAACGTTATTCATCCGGTTTTATAACGACTACTGTTCGGCCGATACTGGGCACCCGGTCGGCAAAATAATTCTCTACCCGATAAACCGTTGATATCGAAATACGGTTGCTTGAGCGAAGTTCGGTACCGCAATACGTATTATGATTTTTACGATTTTCGGGGCTATATTTGACGTTAAAATTCGTAAAAAAAAAAAAACAAAAAACAAAAAACAAAAATAATTTCCTTCGACCATTATGTATCTACAACTTTCAATGAACCTCGAGTTAAATTTTCAAGCGTTTCTGTTCGGTCAAACAATTCAATCCGCATAACACCTGCGTAGCATATACTAAACAAAAGTTCAAAAATGTCAAATACACACCTGAAAATTCTATTAATCTAAATCTAATGCCTCACGTGTAAAAGCGGTTAAAATCACGGTAGACTTTGTGACTAGAAGTGTTACGAATAAGAACAAAATAATGCTAATCATAATACCAGGTATTTTTTTTTTACTGTTATTTTTTATGAAAAATCGTAGGACTTAGTTTTTAGTTCTTAAGGGACGCATTTTTTTGAAAAATGCTCTATTGTAGCAATAACGGAGTTTTAATTTAATTTCTTTTTTTTTTTTCGTTATTCTATGTGTCTCATATACATCAACGTTTTTCACAGAGTTACGCAAATAAAAGCGCCTAAATTCTTATAAATCTGTCGTCTCTTAAAACTGATGACGGAGCATTGAAACATTATTTGGCGTTCGATTTCAGTGTCATTGAAGTTTTATTTTATTTATTTATACAACGAGTTCTTTTTAGAATACTTTCAATAATAGTCTCATTTAAGTTTAAGTGCGGGTCTTTTATCCGAACAATTTTCATCATTTAACATAACACTTGAATTTGAGTCGCTGTTACGCTTTTACCTCGAAAGAATAATTTTTTATTTTATATCTAATCGAAGTGTAGTCAGGCGCTGAATATTAAATTAACTGTTTTTTTTTTTTTTTTTTTGAATTCCTTTATTTAAATCTCTCTGAAGCTTTTAAGTGAATTCCTTTTAATTATCCCCATAAATAACTCTGTCTTACAAATTATTTTAAAAGCAATTAGCATTTTCGTTTTTTGTTTAAAGAGTGCAAATTCCGTATTGCGGTATCTCGACGGGGAAGGGACACAGACGAAAATTACATTCAACGAAACCCTAAAAGATACGTCTACCGAGACTGACCAATTAAGTGAATTTTACAATAATTGTAAAAAGTTCTGTAACAAAGGGACCCGTTAATTATAGTACACCAAAGTAAAAAATGCACCTACTTTGCATCTACTGTGGATTCTAAATCCCGGGATCTTTTTTGGGTTCCGCCCTTACTTATTGAGTAGGCTATTTTTAAGTATTTTTGCTATAACCAATATTATTTTAACGCTGTCCCACGGAAGTATAATTGCGGTTATACGGCGGGTTAAAAGCCAGGGATATAGGGGTACATAGAGGGATGCGACTTGCGCCCAAAATTGTACATTTTGACTACGCACTTAGTTGCGGTTATTAATTTAATTTATTTGAAAATCGGTACAACTTAAAAAAAAATATTTTTTTATAAATTTTATTAAGTGATTATCTTAACATATATGTATTCCATAATTTATTATTTTTTCTATAGTAGGGCCGAAATAATGTGGGTAAAATATTTTTCGAAGACGGCAAATACGATGGAATTTGAAGTCGGCAAATTTTTAACCGCGTGTCTCCAACGAGTTTTGTTAAAACTTGTTTTTTGTACGACGGTTGTTCCTCAAAATATCTCGTAGTAAAAATATTCCCGTTTGAAATATCTGGCAGTATTAAATATCTTTTTAATAATATCGGGGAGAATAAAGCATTATATTGTACCCCTATTTTCAGAAAAATAACCTTTTCCGTATCATACGAATTTGAAAATAAATATAAAGTCTTGCCATAGTGAGATCAAACACTCATCGATTCTAATATTTTCTCGCAGTCAAGTGATTTGTAACATTTCTCTTCGTTGCTATTTTCAAATAAATCCATCGAAATGGTAGCCTTTGATGTTGACGGAAGTAACTGTTTGTTAGGTATTTTTGTCGTAGCTGTGATTTCTAATAACTCTTATGAAATGAAAATAGGTAACTGCAGTGGTGATTCCAGAACATACATTTCCATTTTACTACCGACGATGCGCACCCCAGTTACCCGAGCATCCGTTAAAATTTCTGAGGGATACCAGGATGCCGTTAGAAATATTAAAGATTTTTCATTTCAGTTAATAGATATTTATTATTTTACAGTAAAATTACTTCTGAAATAAATTCGAACGTGAAAATCGTGGGTAAATACAATAATGATAAGATATTATACTTAATCTAGATAAATATAAATGTATGACCTCCTGTAATTAATTTCCTGATACCTGAACACCTCCTGATAATTGATAAGAATTACGATATGGTTATTGATACCTAATTTTTTTTTTTTTTTTTTTGTTTTTCATTCTTTTACGTGGCTGGTTATTGGGCGCCCATTAAATCGGTATGATAATAAGCGATTTATTATGAGTGACTAGATTCACACAGGTAACACACGGTCATTAAGAAATCAAATATGTTCAACTGTTCAACAAATCAATGTTATTTTTTATCGCTAATTTACAAAGAAAATTATAAACGCTCGCTTTAACGCTATTATAAGAACGGAAACGAGATAAGATCTTATGGATAGACGTCGATGAGTTTCATTTATAAATAATGTACATTTTTTTTTTTCTTACCTACGTTTAACTATGTAACTGATGAATAATTTAAAACAAAATTGTTATTAACATTGTGTAAACTGTAATATACGTATTTTCTATTTGTTCGTCTTCAATAGTATCTTATTCCGTTCAATACTCGTATTTAATTGTTAATTAGGTCTTAGATCTATCTACTTTTATGAGCGAATATTTTCTAACATGAACTTTATTGATTATAATCTAAGATGTCAACTTAATGATATCGGTCTTGATGCTTATTTAAAACTATAAACGACCAATTACTCTCCAGACCCGAAGAGGCTTTGCTAAGAAATTCAACGACAGAAATCCCACTAGTTAGGCAGATTAGTCGGGTTTTTCATTTTTTATTGATTGTATTTTTACATGCATAGTTATAGTTAATAATAATAATAAAAAAGTCGTAATAGTTTTCAATTAATAATTGAAACAAAAAAAAAAAAAAAAATGTAAGATTTTCGTCATTTATTATCTATGCACAATATTACAGTAATTATAGTAATATAGTACCTGCCAATTCCTAGAAAAACGATTGCCGTCATACAAACGAGGCTCTCATTGAACACCGTTGTTTCGTAAATTTTACGAAAAATGGCTCGTTCGTAAAAACAAAAAAAAAAGTCGCCGACCGGTTACAGGGCGTTGTTCAGATTCACAAAAACTCAGATATCATAATAACGAGAGGGCGTAAAATAATAATACAATTATTTCGGCCAACTTTTTACCTACCGTTCGTACGTCGAATTTTAATCGGGGATATTTCGAGGCGGAAACCGTTTCGCGGCAACGTGTAACGTCAATTCAAGTCCGGTACTCGTGGTCGTTTCTCTGTACCGGTCGGATCGGAGCGGACAATTCAAAACGCATGTCCCGCCGAGTATAATAATATTATTATAATATTTATTATGATAGTACGCGCACTTTGTCACGACCATTACACCGCGTGGCCCGGTCGTTGTGTGTTCGATATTTTTACCGTGTACACACGTTGCAATATGACAAATGAACATAACATACTCGATGTTTAATATTCGTACCCGTGTTCGTTATATTATTATATTTACCGTCCGGTCGCCGTCATGGCGCAAAAACGTTACAATAATATTATATCGTTATTCGAGTTCCGGGACGCGTATTTACAGACCGTATCCGTGTACGGCCCGAGCGGTAGTGCACGGGTACAAATTTAAATACGCACTCCGGCCGCGGTTTCCCATCGATTAGGTTTTAGCCGTTTTGAATTTACGCTTGGGGCGATTTAACGCGGTCGCTTAGGTATAGACCGGTTTAGTTGGGCTTTGACTACCGCTTTTCAACAGAGAGCTCCTTAAATCGAAGTCATGTTCGCCATCACTACTAAAATCGTCGACGAATTATCGGACTCTTCCCTAATTACTATACCCTTTGTATTTATTTGTTATTCTTCGCGTATAAATATTTTTTCCACGCGTTTCTCACGCGTTACTTTGCCGGGTGTTGCCACTGGGTAACCTCCCTGATCTTAAGATTCGCCGTTAGTTGTATAATTCACTGTCTTTTATCACACCAATTTATTGTGCAAAACTGTATATAAATTGTAGATTACTTTAAAATTAAAAAAAAAATAGTATCGAATACGGGATTTTATGTCAACACTCTTTT